GATTTTCTTTTGGAAGAAGGGGAAAGCAATAAGCTTAGATGCCAAGAATTCAAGAGAAGTATTCTCTGGCCTAGTGTTTGTATTTAGTACAGATTTATCAACACATTTTTTGTGCTGGGCGCGGTGGCTCAAGCCTGTAATCCCAGCACTTTGGGAGGCCGAGACGGGTGGATTACGAGGTCAAGAGATTGAGACCATCCTGGTCAACATGGTGAAACCCCGTCTCTACTAAAAATACAAAAAAAATTAGCTGGGCATGGTGGCGCATGCCTGTAATCCCAGCTACTCAGGATGCTGAGGCAGGAGAATTGCCTGAACCCAGGAGGCGGAGGTTGCGGTGAGCCGAGATCGCGCCATTGCACTCCAGCCTGGGTAACAAGAGCGAAACTCCATCTCAAAAAAACAAAAACAAAAACATTTTTTGTATATTTGATGTTATCACTAATGTTTATTTTAAAAGTCTTAAAGACACATTACATTGACTAAATGTAGTGTCCTGGGAACTCTGTGTGTAACCTATGCAGCATGAAAGGTGGGAACTGAACCAAGAAATCTTGTTCTGTAGAATATAGCAAACTCTGGGTTAAACTGGTTCCATAAAAATGATAACTATCACTTATTTTCTCTCTGTCTCTCGTATTTTGGAGTTGCAAACAGCGTTTTTATTTTAGCTCCTATTTATGAAACACCTATTATGTGCTTGCCCTGTCCTAAGCCTTTACACGTATTATTTCATTTTATTCTCATGATAACCCAGTGAGGTCAATACTATTAGATTTTCTTTTGTATTACACATGAAGAAACATAGGTATACAGATACCAAGGAACTTGTCAGAATCTACTAATGTTTATGGGCTGAAAACTGAATGCAGGTCAGCCTATTTCCAACGTTTATCTTTTTACTCTGCTACCCATGTCTCCTGACACTCAACCACAGACACCACAAGGATGAAACCAGTGCCACTAGGTTTTTCCTGTGGGAGCCCATTGAAACCTCAAAACGACTTCATTTTAGTTGAAGGAACGTGGACTTAATTAAGTAGTTCTCTGAAAGACACACAACTGGCAATCACAGATTCAAACCCAGGACTTTGTGATGTGAGATCATCTTTACACATGAAACTAACCAGTGGGTCCTAGAATTACCTAGGTCAGATCAGTAATTTTTATTTTTATTTTATTTTATTTATTATTTTTGAGATGGAGTTTCGCTGTTGTTACCCAGACTGGAGTGCAATGGCACGATCTCTGCTCACTGCAACCTCTGCCTTCTGGGTTCAAGCAATTCTCCTGCCTCAGCCTCCCGAGTAGCTGGGACTACAGGCGTGCACCACCATGCCCAGCTAATTTTTGTATTTTTAGTAGAGACGGGGTTTCACCTTGTTGACCAGGATGGTCTCGATCTCTTGACCTCGTGATCCACCCACCTTGGCCTCCCAAAGTGCTGGCATTACAGGCTTGAGCCACCACTCCCGGCTTGATCAGTAATTTTTAAAGAGATTGAGAATGATAGAAGGCTGCCAAACTTTTTAGTTTGCCAAATAATAACATAAAAAAATAAATCTACCTTATCTGTTCACAAAAGACAGGACTTACTTGTTTTTAGAAAGACATTTTAGTGGGGAAAACTGGGAAAGGATAATCTCAGAATAAAGGACAGTTGAGTTTTTTTTTTTTTTTTAATCTATTTTTAATTTTTCTCAGAGTTTGGGAGGCTGAGGTCAGAAGTTGGAGACCAGCCTGCTCAACATAGTGAACCCCCAAATTAACCAGGTGTGGTGCACGCCTATAATCCCAATTTCCTGAGAGGGTGAGGCACGAGAATCACTTGAACCTGGGAGGTGGAGGCTTGCAGTGAGCCAAGATCATGCCATACATTCCAGCCTGAGTGACAGAATGAGACTCTGTCTCAAAATATATATATGTATATATGTGTGTATATATATATATATACATATATGTGTGTGTGTGTGTATATATATATATATATATATATATATTTTTTTTTTTTTTTTTTTTTTTTTTTCAGAGAAAGTGTCTTGTTTTTCAGAGAGGATGTCTTGCTTTGTGTCCAGGCTGTCTGGTCTCAAACTTCTGGCTTCAGCCTCCCAAAGTGCTGGGATTACAGGCATGAGCCACCATTCTCAGCCAAGAGAGTTGTTTTAAATGAACAAATTGATCCTTTGGTAGTTCATGAGTGGGGTTATTGGGTGGGTGTACATGCATATGTGTGAGATGTGCCACCCATGAATCTTGTTATGTTATCAGTGCATTACCTGTCTGGCATGAAAAACAAACACATTCAGCTTTATGAGGAACCTTACATTACCACCGTTTTTTCCCTTGGTTTGTCACAACCATTGATCAGTTGATCACAGACTGGTTGTTGGTAACCATTTTCCTATACCATGTATTCTCATGAATTCAACAGCTGGTATCAATTGACAACTAGTCTTAATTTTCTGTTGTCAGCTGAGCGCGGTGGCTCAAGCCTGTAATCCCAGCATTTTGGGAGGCCGAGGCGGGTGGATCATGAGGTCAAGAGATCGAGACCATCCTGTTCAACACGGTGAAACCCCGTCTCTACTAAAAATACAAAAAATTAGCTGGGCATGGTGGCACGTGCCTGTAATCCCAGCTACTCAGGAGGCTGAGGCAGGAGAATTGCCTGAACCCAGGAGGCGGAGGTTGCGGTGAGCTGAGATTGAGCCATTGCACTCCAGCCTGGGTAACGAGCGAAACTCCGTCTCAAGAAAAAAAAAAAAATTTCTGTTGTCACACTCTTGATTCTGTTATCTTTAGAGAGACTGTTGATATCCTACTATAGTGAGCTTCGTTTTTGCTCAGAGCTTTGTCTTATTTTGGGTCAGGGTAGGCAATCTAAAAAGACCCAAGTCAAGACCCAAGGTCAAGTGGTGAGACTACATGCCTACAAAAATTAAATATTTAGGCTGGCATGGTGGCACATGCCTGTGGTCCCAGCTATTCAGGCAGCTGAGGTGGAAGGATCACTTGAGCCCAGGGGGTCAAGGCTGTAGTAAGCCTAGTTTGCACCACTACACTCCAATCTGGGTGATAGAGTGAGACCCTGTCTCAAAAAAAAAAAAAAAAGAGAGAGAGAGAGAGACTTTTGGGATCTTGTAGAAGGGATTTTAGAACCAAACCTGCAGTCATTAAGAGGGACTTTTTCTGGGTTTGGGCAGTGTCCGCCACAATGCCTTCCTTAGACATAGCAGGTGCTCAACAGATGTATTGGACCAATGAGTCTATTTGTAATCAAATTCATCAGTACTGTCTCCTGAGATTTTATGCTGTTCTGGTGTGCATGTGAAAAGCTCAAAATTTGTGGATTGTTAATTGGAATGTGGTAGGAATATTGTTGGATCTCCAGGGAGGAGAATTTCTTACATTAGATAAGCCTCTTTTTCCTCTGGTTTTACCAGCTTTACTATCAAACAGATGATACTTCTTCCAAGGTAGGAATGTGCTCAGGAAAGAGATAATTTTTAAAGTATTCAAATTTGTAAAGATTGGGATTTAAGCTTTAAAACACTTATAACTGGACATGCTGGTTCACACCCATAATCTCAGCACTTTGGGAGGTGGGGAGGATCGCTTGGGGCCAGGAGTTCACGGTTACAGTAAGCTACGATCATGTCACTGCACTCCAGCCTGGGCAACAGAGGGAAACCTATCTAAAAAAAAAAAATGTTTTTTTTTTAATTAAAAATCTCATAAAGAAGTGTGGTTTCTAATGTGGAGAAAACCCCATGCTTACCTTATTTGAGGAAATTCATCAACTTAAATCATTTGTCATAGTAATTAAAGAAGCTTTATAGTGAATCTAAGGTTTAAAGGATACTTTAGTATTTTTTTTTTCTTAAAGCCGACAGCACCTGTTATGCCCAAGTGGTCTCCCATCCAAGTACTAACCAGGCCTGACCCTGCTTAGCTTCTGAGATCAGACTCGATGGGACGCTTCCAGGGTGGTATGGCCGTAGACTCTTTTTTTAAAAAATAATAATTTCCACTCTTATTTTAGGTTCAGGGAGTACATGTGCAGGTTTGTTACTTGGAATATTGTGTGATGCTGAGGTTTGGGGTGCAATTGGTCCTGTCACTCAGGTAGTGAACACTGTACCCAATAGCTTTTCTTTTTCCTTTCTTTTTTTTCTTTTTTTTTTTTTTTTAAGAAAGAGTCTCTCTGTCACACAGGCTAGAGTGCAATGGCACGATCTTGGCTCACTGCGACCTCTGCCTCCCAGGTTCAAGTGATTCTCCTGCCTCAGCCTCCCGAGCAGCTGGGTTACAGGTGCCTGCCACCACACCTGGCTAATTTTTGTATTTTTAGTAGAGATAGGGTTTCACCATGTTAGCCAGTCTGGTCTCAAACTCCTGACCTCAGGTGATCTACCCGCTTCTGTCTCCAAAAGTGATGAGATTACGGGTGTGAACCACTGCGCCCAGACACTATTTTTACTTTTATGAGATGGAATCTGCATATGTTGCCCAAGCTGGTCTTGAACTCCTGGCCTCAAGTGATCTTTCTGCCTCAGCCTTCTCAAATGCTGGGATCACAGGTATGAACCACTTCTCCTGGTCTTTACTTTGAATTATTAATTAGTAGTGGTCGGGCTCATGCCTGTAATCCTAGGAGTAGGGAAAGCCAGTGTGAGTGAATGGCTTGAGCCCAGTAGAGACCAGCCAGGGCAACATGGTGAAAACCTGTCTTTACAAAAAAATACCAAAATTAGCTGAGTGTGATGATGTGAGCCTGTAGTCCTAGCTACTTGGGAGGCTGAAGTGGGAAGATTGCTTGAGCCTGGGGAGGTCCAGGCTGTGGCGAGCTGTGATCATGCCTCTGCACTCCAGCCTGGGCAACAGAATAAGACCATGTCTCAAAAAAAATAAAAAAAAAACAATGAGTAGTGAATATTCTATTTCAAAAAGGGGAATGCATAGAAAAAGACTCACTTCAGTGCTTTTTGTTGTTATTTCAGACCAAAACCTTGTGTGACTGAGCTCAAGAGCAGTGCATCCAGATTCTCCTCAGAAGTGAGACTTTCCAAAGGACCAATGACTCTGCTTCCTGTGCCCTTTCATTTTTTCCTACTCTATAACTATGTCTCGATCTCGCCATGCAAGGCCTTCCAGATTAGTCAGGAAGGAAGATGTAAACAAGAAAAAGAAAAACAGTCAACTGCGAAAGACAACCAAGGCAGCCAACAAAACTGTGGCATCGGTCAAGACTTTAAGCCCTGGAAAATTAAAACAATTAATTCAAGAAAGAGATGTTAAGAGAAAAACAGAACCTAAACCACCCATGCCAGTCAGAAGCCTTCTGACAAGAGCTGGAGCAGCACGCATGAGTTTGGATAGGACTGAGGTTCTTTTTCAGAACCCAGAGTCCTTAACGTGCAATGGGTTTACAATGGCGCTACGAAACACCTCTCTTAGCAGGCGACTCTCCCAACCCCCACTGGTCATAGCCAAATCCAAAAAGGTTCCACTTTCTAAAGGTTTAGAAAACCAACATGATTATAATTATAAGATACTCCCTGATTTGGGAGCAAAGCACTCAGAAAATGATTTGGTTCCAATGAAAGACACCCAAGTCCTTCCTGATATGGAGACTCTAATTGATGTACAGAATTCCTGTTTAATTAAAGGTAAGAGCCAAGAGACAACTCAGTCTTGGTCCCAAAGAGTTGAGGATTCCAAAATCAATATCCCGACCCACAGTGGCCCTGCAGCTGAGATCCTTCCTGGGCCACTGGAACGGACACGCTGTGGTGAAGGACTATTCTCTGAAGAGACATTGAATGATATCAGTGGTTCCCCAAACATGCTTGCTCAGGACACAGTGTGTGCTCCTTTGCCCCAAAGAGCAACCCCCAAAGTTACCTCTCAAGGAAACCCCAGCATTCAGTTAGAAGAGTTGGGTTCACGAGTGGAATCCCTTAAGTTATCTGATCCTTACCTGGATCCCATTAAAAGTGAAGATGATCGCTACCCCACCTCCAGTACTGATAAGGTTATACCTGAATTGAACCTTAGAAACTGCTTGGCTCTTGGTGGGTCTACATCTCCTACCTCTGTAATAAAATTCCTCTTGTCAGGCTCAAAACAAGCAATCCTTGGTGCTAAACCAGATCATCAAGATTTCAAAGCTACTTCAAATGAACAGGAAGTTTCCGATACCACCTCTGTTCTAGGACAGGCCTTTGGTGCTATCCCACACCAATGGGAACATCCTGGGGCTGACCCAGTTCATGTTGAGGCCCTGGGTGAGACCCCAAATCCACCTGAGATTCCTGGTGCTATTCCAGCCCGAGGAGAGATCTTTGGTACTATTTTAGACCAACAAGAAACTCTTGATATGAATGGGGGTGTTGGCCCAGACTTGCCTGTCTTCCTTCCTGTTCCTCCAAATCCAATTGCTACCTTTAGTGCTCCTTCCAAATGGCCTGAGCCCCAAAGCACTGTCTCATATGGACTTGCAGTCCAGGGTGCTATACAGATTTTGCCTTTGGGCTCAGGACACACTCCTCAATCATCATCAAACTCAGAGAAAAATTCATTACCTCCAGTAATGGGTATCAGTAATGTTGAAAATGAGAAACAGGTTCATATAAGCTTCTTGCCATCTAACACTCAGGGGTTCCCATTAGTCCATGAGAGAGGACTCTTCCATGCTTCACTGGGTGTTGCCCAACTCTCCCAGGCTGGCCCCAGCAAATCAGACAACGGGAACTCCCAGGTCAGTGTAACCAGCACAGTTCATGTTGTCAACACCACAGTGGTGACTATGCCAGTGCCAATGGTCAGTACCTCCAATTCTTCCTATACCACTTTGCTACCCACTTTGGAAAAGAAGAAAAGAAAACGATGTGGGGTCTGTGAACCCTGCCAGCAGAAGACCAACTGTGGTGAATGTACTTACTGCAAGAACAGAAAGAACAGCCATCAGATCTGTAAGAAAAGAAAATGTGAGGAGCTGAAAAAGAAACCATCTGTCATTGTGCCTCTGGAGGTAAGCAGACAGTCAAGGGGCTTGGAGACATCTGGCACTTGGTAGAGTGATCTATATGTAGAGAAAATTTGCTTCACTATTACATATTTTTCCTTTGGTACAATTAAGTTATTCATAAAAGAATTTCTGGACCTACCTGAAGTATGTCTTGTGCAGCGATGCTGTAGCTAGCTTATTTTTAGAATTTGTTCTAGAAAACTAGAACATACAGTTTTTTTTCATTACAGGATTTGATGGAAACATAGAGAAATTGTATGAAATGTGGTTTTGCAAAGATTTCCCCTATGCCTCTTTTGGCTAATTGCATGTCTTTTTTGGCAGTCACAGATTTAAAAATTAAGAGTGGAACAAATTCATTAACTCCATAGCAGCCTGAAAAACCAGAGGTATTAAACATCTTTCCTTTTGAAAGAATACAGTTGCATTCCTAATCTTGAAACTTTGCTTTGGAGGCATAGCAATAATACAGCTTTTGTTCAGCTTTTGGTGATTTCTACCTGCTCTACCAACCTCATAGGGTTGTTGGGATTAAAGGAAAATGGCTTGTAAACTCCAAAGTGATATACAAACTGGTTCTTATTATAGTTTATGAACCTAAGGTAGTAAAAGGATCTGTTGATTTAGAATTTATTTAAAAACTTTTAGGGAACTTGGTTAAAACTTACTGTTGCTTTTTCAGCCTTTTAAAACACCTGTCAAACATGATGTTTTATGATTTTTAGATCATGCATTAAAGTTATGTTGATTATGTCTACTATAAATGCAGGTACAGTAGAATAGATGGAGTTAGAAGTATTGCAGGATGGGTGTGGTGGCTCACGGCTGTAATCCTAACACTTTGGGAGGCTGAGGTGGGCAGATCACCTGAGGTCAGGAGTTTGAGACCAGCGTGGCCAATATGGCAAAACCCCATTTTTACTAAAAATATAAAAAGTAGCTGGGTGTGGTGGCAGGTGCCTGTAATCCCAGCTACTCTGGAGGCTGAGGCAAGAGAATTGCTTGAACCCAGGACGCAGAGGTTGCAGTGAGCCAAGATTGCACCATTGCACTCTGGCCTGGGCCACCAGAGCAAAACTCCATCTCGATAAAATAAAATAAAAGTAAAGTAAAAAGTATTGTGGCTGGGCATGGTAGTTTACACTTGTAATCCCAGCACTTTGGGAGGCCAAAGTGGGTGGATCACTTGAGGTCAGGAGTTCAAGACCAGCTGGGGTGAAACCCCATCTCTACTAAAAATACAAAATTAGCTGGGCGTAGTTGTGCACACCTGTAGTCCCAGCTACTCTGGAGGCTGAGGCAGCAGAATCGGAGGTGGAGGTTTCAGTGAGATGTGATTACACCACTGCACTACAGCCTGGGCAACAGCGAAACTCCATCTCAAAAAAGAAAATAATAAAATGAATAAACAAATAAATAAAAATATTAGGAGGCTAGTCATGGTGGTTCACATCTATAATCCAGAACTTTGGGAGGCTGAGGTGGATAGATCGCTTGAGGCCAGGAGTTTGAGACCAGCCTGGTCAACCTGGAGAAACTCCATCTCTTCTTAAAATACAAAAATTAGCCAGGAGTGGTGGTGCATGCCTGTAATCCCAGCTACTCGGTAGGCTGAGACACAAGAATCACTTTAACCTGGGAGGCAGAGGTTGCAGTGAGTGGAGACTGTGCCACTGCACTTCAGCAGGGGCAACAGGGAGAGACCTTGTTTCAAAACAAACTATTGTGAGATTTAAGCCAGGCATGGTGGCTCATGCCTGTAATCCCAGCATTTTGGGAGGACCAAGGCAAGAGGACTTCTCGAGTCCAGGAGGTCAAAATCAGCCTGGGCAACATAGCAAGACCTTGTCTCTACTAAAGGTACAAAACTAGCTGGGTATGGTGGCACACTCCTGTAGTCCCAACTGCTTGTGAAGCTATAGTGAAAGGATTGCCTAAGCCTGGTAAGTCAAAGCTTCAGTGAACAATGATCATGCCACTGGATTCCAGCCTGGGTGACAGCAATGAGACTCCGTCTCAAAAAAAAGGATTGTGAACATAAAATTCAGTAAACCATTTATATTTCTTTTTTTTGTTTTTCTTTTCTGAGACAAAGTCTCACTCTCTCACTCAGGCTGGAATACAGTGGCACGATCTCAGCCTCCCAGGTTCAGGCAATTCTCTCTTGCTTCTGCCTCCCGTGTAGCTGGGATTACAGGCACCCACCACCATGCCTGGCTACTTTTTGTATTTTTAGTAGGGATAGGGTTTTGCCATGTTGGCCAGGCTGGTCTCTAATTCCTGACCTCAGATGATCCACCTGCCTCAGCCTCCCAAAGTGCTGGAATTACAGGCATGAGCCACTGTGCCTGGCTTTCTGTTTCATTCTTGATTTAAATTATTGGTTTAAACATGCTGATTTTGGCTGCTCATAGGTGGCTCACGCCTGTAACCACAGCACTTTGGGAGGCTGAGGGAAGAGGATCACTTGAAGCCAGGAGTTTGAGACCAGCATAGGCAATATAACAAGAACTCATCAAAAAACACATAGCTGTACTGGATGGGGTATCTCATGCCTGTAATCCCAGCATTTTGGGAGGCTAAGGTGGACAGATCACCTGAGGTCAGGAGTTCAAGACCAGCCTGGTCAACATGGTGAAACCCCATCTCTACTAAAAATACAAAAATTAGCAGGGAGTGGTGGTGCATGCCTGTAATCCCAGCTACCTGGGAGGCTGAGGCAGGAGAATCACTTGAACCCGGGAAGCCGAGGTTGTAGTGAGCCAAGATTGTGCCATTGCACTCCAGCCTGGGCAACAGCAAGACTCCATCTCAAAACAGAAAAAAACACAAAAAAACGTAGCTGGGTGTGTTGGCATGCACTTATGTTTTCAGTTACGAGAATGGCTGAGTTGGGAGGATAGCTTGAGCCTCAGGCTCAAGAGTTCAAGGCTGCAGTGAGCTATGACGGCACCATTACATTGCAGCTTTAATGACAAAGCCTGACCCTGTCTCAATAAATAAATAAATAAATAAATAAATAAAGCTGATTTCTTAATTGTCTGAGCCATTGCAAATGAGAGATCAATCAATCATGTATTGATGGGCATTTAAAATGTTTCTAATACTTTGTTGTTATTATTATTATTATTATTATTATTTTAAAGATGGGGTTTCACCATGTTGGTCAGGCTGGTCTTGAACTCCCGACCTCAGGTGATCTGCCTGCCTTGGCCTCCAAAGTGCTTGGATTACAGGGGTGAGCCACTACTTGGTTATTAAAAATCTTACTGACCCTATAATCCCAGCACTTTGGGAGACTAAGGCAAGAGGATTACTTGAGCCCAAGAGTTTGAGATAAATAAACTAGGAAACATAGCCGAGACGTCCACCTCTACACCAAAATTCTATTTTATTCTATTTTATTTATTTATTTAATTTTGAGTTGGAGTATTGTTCTGTTGGCCAGGCTGGAGTGCAGTGGTGAGATCTTGGCTTAATGCAACCTCCTGCCTCCTGAATTCAAGTGATTCTCCTGTCAGCCTTCCAAGTAGCTGGGATTACAGGGAAGCACCACCATGCCTGGCTAATTTTTGTATTTTTTGTAGAGATGGGGTTTCACCATGTTGGTCAGGCTGGTCTTGAATTCCTGACCTCAGGGTGATCCACCCACCTCGACCTCCCAAAGTGTTGGGATTATAGGCGTGAGCCACTGTGCCTGGCCTTTGATTTTTTTAAATAATATATATATATATATATATATATTTTTTTTTAAGCCCGACTATGGCAAGGATAGATTTTGAAGTTTTTATCAAATTCTGATAAGAATTGTAATATTTAGTTGGAATTTTGACAAGCTACCCATTAGGACTTTTTTTTTTTTTTAATTTGAGACAGAGTTTCGTTCTTGTTGCCGGGGCTGGAGTGCAATGGTGTGATCTGGGCTCACTCCAACCTCAGCCTCTCGGGTTCAAGCAATTCTCCTGCCTCAAGCTCCTGAATAGCTGGGATTATAGGCATGCACCACCATGCCCAGATAATTTTGTATTTTTAGTAGAGATGGTGTTTCTCCATGTTGGTCAAGCCTCAAACTCTCAACCTCCCAAAGTGCTGGGATTAGAGGTAGCTCCACCACTCATGGCCTCTGTTAGGACATTTTGAGTAGCAAAATGAAGAAAGATCTCATTTGATGCTGAGTGATTGATACACATGGTGGACATAGAGGATGCTTTTACTTTGAATAGTGTTGCTAAATTGCCAGTTTCTGGTCTAATTTGGGATGCTGGGATTACAGGCATGAGCCATTGCACCCAGCCCAAAAATTAAAAAAAAAAATAGCTGGGTGTGATGGCTCATGCCTCTGGTCCCAGCTACTTGGGTCACTGAGATGGGAAGATTTCGTGATCTTGGGAAGCTGAGGCTACAGTGAGCTATGATCATGCCACTGTACTCCAGTATGGGTGACAAAGCAAGACCCTGTCTCAAAAAATAATAATAATAACCTTACTGAAATGTATAATCTTTTACTCGGTCAAGTAACTTCAAGTTTGTGGGAATAGATAAAATGTGGCCACTTAACCGATGGTTTACAAAGTAACGTTTAGCAATATCTCTAGTCAGAGACCTCCCTTGTAAGCTCCCTTGTAATGCTACAATTTGGCAATTGTAGCATTGCAAAAGGACATAATTGTAAAAAAGACTCTATCTCTAATGGGTATGAATACATTTGTTCTATTCTTTCCCAAAGCTGCTCTCTCTCGCATTACATGTTTGGTGCAGTGGCATAACACATGATCACCCAAAATAGAATATTGAGTATCCTCACCTCCTTCTTTCATCCATCTAAATTCTCCTGTTCTACTAAATCTGAATGCTACTACCTCTCCATTTTCTTGGCCACTGTCATAGTGAGGCCTTATTTCTTATTGGGATAATTTCAGTGCTATCTTTATTATCAACAAGTATTTATTGCACTTCTCCTAGGCCATGCACTGGAAATATAATCATGAGCATTCTAGCCACCA